AGATAATAAGATATTAATCCTTTATCATACTTATATTACAACTAGAACTCCAAAAAAATTTTACTTCCTTATTAATGTATTAACAATGAAAGGAAAGATTTATTATTATACTAATTTTCAACCTCTTATTAATATTATCATATTTTTAATTGATTTGATATTTTAATATACCAAGTAGATTTATCATATTTTCTGGGAAGAAGTGTTAAGTTTTTTTTGTTTTTTACAAAATATTATTATTTAAATTATATAATATTTGAATGTAAAAGTTGTATAAATACGATAGATAATAAAAGTTTGATTGTAGAAGTATTGTGATAGAAGGGTTGAAAAATGTGAGTGGGGAGAATAGAATAGTAAGATGAGATTATGAGTTATGTTTTGACCTAAACAGGGATGCATAGTTGGGTGGTTGTGAGTGGGAAATGAAATGACTTAAGGAAGAAGAGTGAGGGGCATGGAGATGGATGAATAATGAGGCAAATGAGTTGCATTGAATTGAATTGAATGATGTTTGTCGCGTTGTCGCGTGGTAACGCGTAAAAGGAGTTGGCTGCGTCCCAAGTTGGGTGTCAAACATTGTGGTTCAAATTCAAAGGTGGGAGATTCATAAATCATGAACTCTTTTTTTTCTTCTTTTTTTTCAAACTCATTTCAATAACTACACAATTTTCTTCCAACCTCTCTCTTATAATTACACCCCCTTTTCAATTACACCCCTTTTCATGAACTCTTATTTTTTATTAAATTAATATAATATTAAGGATAAAAAATTATTCAAGAAAGACTATAAATAAATTTTATAAATAAAGGAAAATTTTTATGAAGACTAAAATTAAAATTTACTAATTTTATAATAATTTAAATTATATTTAAACATTAAGTAATTTTTTTCTTTTGAAATTAATCCTTAATTCTTATTTAATATTTTTAGAAACAACTTAATAGTTCACTAATAAATTTAAATATCAAGTTTTAGTTTCCATTATATGAAACCTAGATTCAATTATTTTGACTTCTAACAAGTACCTTTTATTATTTTGATAATCCTACTGCAGTGTAATTGAATATTAAATGTATATATTTCTTAGCTCTTGCCTCTGTCATTAATAAATCTAAATTCACTTTGAGTTAATTTCAATACTATATATACATTATAAAAAATATATATACAATAAATAAATTAAATTAAATTACTTATCATATTATTTTTATCTTTCAGAACACTTATAAATTTAATATTTTTTAAAATTCAAATTCATTTCTAATGAAATTAGTAAGGCAAAAAATAAATTATTTTAATTATATTTTCGATCAATAATTTGATTAGATTTTATACTTAAAAAATCATATAAATAAAATATTAAATTTAAATATAATTTTATTTTGTTTAATTTCAATATAAATCAAATTGAACTAATATTTTATGATTCATATTATAATAAAATAATTATTAAATAAAAATATATTATAAAAATATAATTAATTATATTATCTATAATTTTAATTTATTTTTAAGTTCAATTTAAATAATAATAATATATTATTATAAATTATAAAAGTTAATTATATATTTATATTTTAATAATATATTATAATTTTAATTTGATTTTGTTTAGATTAAATTTTAATAATTATAAAAAATTAATGATTTATTCCTAATAAATAATATTTTTTGTTTTAATTTTAATAATATATATTATAATTTTAGTTTAATTCGATTTAGATTACTTTGACTGTTTAATTGAACCAAAACATTTTAAAAAATTTTAATCTAAAATATTTTAATTTTTTATTTTATTTATTGATTCTATTTTAGAAAAATATATATTTATATTATGTATAGGATTGGTTTTTAATTTTTTTTTCATCAATTTGTAAAATTATCTATAAAAAAATTATAGAAAATAAGATCTTGTGTAATAAATGTCCTTATTATGGATATAAAGATAGAATTAAAATAAAAAATTATTTTGGATTTAAATAAAGATAAGAATTTTATGCATTAAAAATTGTACATTTTAATTACTATCATAAAAATATAACCGTAATTTTGTTATTAAAAGATATTTTAATTGATTATTATTCTCTTATGACAAAACTATTCGTATGAACAAGAAAAATCATCCATATAATATTAAATGGTGAATATTTTGAACATTAGAATAGTTCTTCCACCCATTTGGTCGAGGAAAAGAAAAATTTATCCCCTTCAAAAATATTAATACTTTAAATTAAAAATTTTAAACAGAAGTCAAAGGAATTTTTAATTAAAAAAGAAAAACTCAAAACTTTTTCAGTAATATTATATAAGAGCAAAATAGATTGTTAAACTATTATAACAAGTAGCATAATTAAGAGAACAATATATGTTAATCTCTAGTGATTTAACTTATATTTGAATTGAAATTAATAGATTTAAGTTTGAATAAATTTTAGTTTTTTGCAAATTAAGTTTAGAAAATCAGTTTCCTAAAACCTATTATAATTAATTATAAAAAAGTTAAATAAATAGTTAGAATAACAAATTATAAATTATATAAAAGAATTATGTGTAGAATACAGCTAGAAATATAGATTTGGTTTATTATAGTTATTATTTAAATAAATTAAATATTAAAAAATAAAATACAATATATATTTTATTTATAACTATTTATAATAATTTTAAATTTGTGGACCGATTCAAGCCGTTAGATGTTATTTTATTTTATTCAAGTTAGGAGAAAATTATTTTCAGCCTTTATTTTATTATATTTTATCACTTTATTTAAGTTTATCTATAAAAATATTATGTTCCGATCTTATGTTTTAAAGTTTTCGATATTTAAAATATTATTAGGTATTGTGTGTTTTAAAAATTTTCATCTCATTATCTATTTAAAATTCAAAGATAAAAGAGTAATAGTCTTATATTTATTTCTAAACTAAGTGACATCATAATAACAATTTTATTTTAGAATTTGTTAATATAATTTTAATTATTATTAAAATATATAATATTTATTAACACTGTAAATATTATTATCATTTAATTGCATACGTTGAAGAAAAAGTTACGCCGCATAATAAATTTATTTAATTTGTAAATGCGGAGAAATTTATATAAAAGATTATTATCAGTTGATTGATAGTATAATTTCTTACATTATCGACACACTGTGGATAATAAGCTAAAATTTTAGCTTATATAATAAATAAGATAATTATTTAGTATATATAACTAAACATATATAATTAATATATACAAATATGTAGATTATTATTAAAATTATAATTATAAATATTTTTCAATATATAAATTATATTTTAAATATATGAAAATAATTATTGTGATAGAGATTATTTTAAATATTGAAATTTTATTTAATTATTAATATGTAATTTGCAATACTTTTAAAATATCTGTTATCTTTAAAAAAATAACTCTTAAGATTTTTTTCAGTTGAATGGATTTCGATGAAAAAAGTCCTTTCCGGAAAAAAAAATATGGAGAGACACCGAATGGAGGTTTATATGTAAATAACATTCAAATATAAGGTACTTAAGTAAATAAGTGAATATTAACATAATATATAACATAAATTAATAAAGTACTTTAATAATATTTTTTATTACTTAAATCTTAAAACATAAAAATTTTCGGATTAAATAATCAATTTTTTTATAAATTATTATTATTAATATTATATTAAAGATACGATATATTATAGTTAAATATTATATCTAATATTATCAGTTGATATATCAATAATTTATTTATAAAAAATTTATTTATATATTCGGAATATATTAGATTTGAGTAAGTATATTTTATATTTTTATTAATAATTATATAAAAAATATAATTTTTTAAAATTATATAACAATGATAAAAATCTTTTTATTATTCTGAATATTGAAAACAAAACTAAATGCAACAGGAAATAGTTTTACTTACTAGTTAAAAATAAATAAAAAAAGGTTATTTTACACCTCAGAAAACCCCCATATAAATTTTATATAATTTTTAATTTGATAAATTCATATTAAAAATCATCATTATTTAAAAATTTAAATACAATTTGTTGAAGATCATATATGTTCTTCAGTAATTAAAATTATATTTTTATTTCTTTAATTACGTATTTATTAAATAATTACAAAGTAAATTTTTAACTACAACAGAGAAAAAGAACACCTGAATAACTGCAGGTAAACTTTACTCACATCATTCAAATCTTGATGGATAGAAAAAGATAAAACTAATGTAAAGATAAATAAAAACTAAATTACTTTATTTAAAAGTAAAAAAATAATAATTAATTATCTTCTAAATCTTCTAGAAATAAGCAATTGTTTTCATGTAATCAGGATTATTTCCTTCTTTAATCCAACAAAAACCTTAATCAACCCTATAATAATCAATGACATACATATGTTTTCAGAAAAGTTAAAAGCATCATGTATCTTCCCAATTACTATAATGACCTATAAAACTAAAAACAAGAAGCCATCTTTTCACATTAAATGAACACATTGAACACAAAATCGGGTCACAATTTTCAGAAAACGAAATAAAGAAAAGAGGGAAAGCAAAACCCACGAGCCAAAGTGGTTTCCGGTTTCTGGTTTTTGGTGGTGGGGAAAAAGAATATTACAAAAAAAACGCACTTTGCTCAGATACATTGCATGTAGGAAACCGTTCAGTGTACGGGAATCTCTTTCCCTTTCCAATAAAAGCCTTCTTTTCCCCAACACTTACCCTTCATTTTTTCTTCAAACTACTTTTTTTTCTCCTCTATTCTCTCTCTTTTTTTTGCCCTTCTCATAGGGTTCCCGCGATCTCCATCTTCAATTTCTCGCTTTCTCATGCGTTCTTGCTCTCTTAAATCATACACCGCCATCGCAGTTGTTGTTGTTGCTGCTCTCTTATTCGCTCTCCTTTTTGCTCTCGCTCGAGGGTTCTTTCGTGTGGAACGCTGTGGATTTCACCACCCTGGTTTTATTCACCCGTGCCCATGTCTCAAGTTCTCGGATTTTCCGGTGAGTTCATCGATTCATGGTGTTTTTATCCGATTTGTGTTATGTTTTTTTTTGCCCCAACTTCTTACGGAGATTAGTATTTTAGGTTGTGATTTTGAGGTGGATAGAAGGTTGCTATTTTGTGACGATTAAGGTTGATTTTTAATCTTTTGGGGAAATGATTTAACGGGTTAGCCTTCGCTTTTGTTAATTTGTTCTGGGTCATGGATGACACATGATCGCGTTGGGTAAAGGTGTGGAATTTGAATCGGATTATGAAAGTTTTGTCTGGCATATGCTGGGTGGTGTGGCGTATATGGCTTGTTTTTTGTCTAGTAGTTGAATTTTGCATGACAAAAAACGTTTTGATTACTTAGAGGATCTGATAGGAGATGTAAACTTTTTCATAGTTTGATTGTTGATTAGAGAGTGAGGTAATTAATCCAGCTTGGAAATTGTTTAAGGATTTTCTATTGGAATTTTGGATCTTGTTTTGTGATTTGTTCAACCGATGGTTCTTTTTATTTAGTTTGTTTTTATGTATAGAATTGATCTGAACCTGTTGTTGGTCTCTAAGGATAAAACCGAAATTATGTCGTTTTAGTGGTTGAATCTGCATGTTTAATTATATATATATATGGTGAATTTGTGCTTTACTGACTTTGTGCATGCGTTTGGATTCTCAGGAGGTGATGACTTTTGCTCTGGGGGATCAATATACGCCAACCCCAAGGAAGCAAGTTTCTTCCTTTCTCTTGGCCCTCAAGTTGATGTATACTTTCCTCCTAGGAAGAGATCGCGCGTCAATGCTCCATTCATTTTGGATGGAGAATGGTTTGAGCAAAAGCAGAAAACCTCTGTTGAAGCCTTGCCGGATGAGTGTCTCTTTGAGATCTTTAGAAGGTTGCCAGCTGGTGAGGACAGGAGTGCGTGTGCTTGCGTTTCCAAGCGCTGGCTTATGCTTCTGAGCAGTATTTGCAAAGATGAAATCTGTGTCAACAAAAATACCAGCGCAGGAAACATTGAAAAGGAGGGTGATGATGTAGAATTTGGAGGTGATGGATACCTCTCTCGGAACTTGGAAGGAAAGAAGGCCACAGATGTTAGACTGGCTGCCATAGCTGTTGGGACTGCATCTCGGGGAGGGTTGGGGAAGCTTTCTATCCGAGGAAACAACATGTTTCGCGGGGTGACTAGTCTTGGTCTCAAGGCAGTTGCTCATGGATGCCCTTCTTTGAAGTCTCTTTCTCTATGGAATGTTTCTTCTGTTGATGATGAGGGCCTAATTGAGATTGCTAATGGTTGTCACCAGCTAGAGAAGCTCGACCTTTGCAAGTGCCCCACAATTACTGATAAGGGTTTAGTTGCAATTGCAAAGAACTGCCAGAATCTGACCGATCTGTTGTTGGAATCATGCCCTAATGTTGGTAATGAAGGTCTGCGAGCTATTGGGAAGTTCTGCCCCAATCTAAAGTCCATAACCATCAAGGACTGCACTGGTGTTAGTGATCAGGGAATTGCTGGATTGTTTTCAACTTCTTTGGTTCTGACAAAGGTGAAGCTCCAGGGACTGTTTGTTTCAGATCTCTCTCTAGCTGTTATTGGACATTATGGCAAGTCAGTTACTGATCTTGTCCTTAATTGTCTCCCTAATGTCAGTGAGAAGGGGTTCTGGGTAATGGGTAATGGTACTGGATTGCAGAAGCTGAAGTCACTCACAGTTTCATCCTGCAGAGGAGTAACTGATATTGGACTTGAAGCTGTAGGAAAGGGTTGTCCAAATCTGAAAATTGCACATCTTCACAAGTGTGCATTTCTGTCAGACAATGGGTTGATATCGTTTGCTAAGGCTGCTTTATCACTCGAGAGCCTTCGATTGGAGGAGTGCCACAGAATCACCCAATTTGGATTTTTTGGTGTCCTTTTTAACTGTGGTGCAAAATTGAAGGCCATCTCTTTGGTGAGATGCTACGGAATCAAGGACCTGAATTTGGTGTTGCCTACTATATCTCCATGTGAATCGCTTAGGTCATTAACTATCTCCAACTGTCCTGGATTTGGCAATGCCTCCCTATCTGTATTGGGAAAGCTGTGCCCTAAGCTTCAGCATGTTGAACTGAGTGGATTGGATGGAGTGACTGATGCCGGGCTTCTTCCACTGCTTGAGAGTTCTGAGGCTGGATTAGTTAAAGTGAATCTCAGTGGTTGCACAAATGTCACGGACAAAGTAGTTTCATCCATGGCCAATCTTCATGGTTGGACTCTTGAGAACCTTAACCTTGATGGCTGTAAAAACATCAGTGATGCTAGCTTGATGGCAATTGCTGAAAACTGTGCATTGCTATGCGATCTTGATGTCTCCAAGTGCTCAATCACAGATGCTGGCGTAGCAGCCCTGGCACATGCCCAACAAATTAATCTGCAAATTCTCTCTCTGTCAAGTTGCACTTTGGTCTCAGACAGGATCTTGCCCGCCTTGAGAAAATTGGGCCGCACCCTTTTGGGACTAAACATCCAGCACTGCAATGCGATTAACAGCAGCACAGTTGACGTGCTTCTGGAGCTTCTCTGGAGGTGTGACATCCTCTCATAGGCTGGAAGAACTAATCTCATACTGCAATTTAGGCCAGGATCACATCCTACAGGAAGCTTGTTATGCTTAGTGTTGCACAGCAGTCTTTTTTAGGTTCCATTAACAGGTCTTTCATCATCTCCTCATCATCTTCGTCATCATCCAGCTACTCGGTTCCCTTTTGCGGAGTGTGCAGTCATTTAACTCGTTTTTGCAGGTTCCTTCAATGGGAAACCTGTTCTTTTTTGGCATCCATTGCCACCTTTTAAATGGCTGCATATATCTGAGAACATAGCTACCGGGTTCTGGAGTTAGCAATCTTTGTTACTGGTTTTGGCATCTGATGTTTCTACCCCAGCTTTGCATCGGTTTTGCCACCATGTGTGTCCTAGTTTTCTAAGTTTTTACAGCTATCTGTACCACTGTCGCAGTCTTTGTTTACCAAATGTGTTGTGTCTGAACTATGTTCTTCACATGATGTTTGGGTATCAGTTTTATTCAAAGGGCAGGTCAGAAGGTCCTAGGTTATTGCAGTTTGCAGTTGTCAAGTTTGGTGTTATGAAGTCTTTTTTTAAGGGCTTGGCTGTGGCGGCAAGTTATACAGGTCTGCCATAACCACAACCTTAGGGTTGTTTTTTTACCAAGTCCTAATTTTTTTAAGGCTTCATTTTTTTTGAATCTGGCACTGCAGCTACTATATTGGCTAATGGTGTTCATGTCTGCCCTTTGTGCTTTATGTTATGAAATGTAATAAAATAAAAATTAGTCTCATTTCATGAGGCAAAATCAGATGTGTTGATATCTCTCTGAACTTTAATTATACTTTTATACTGGTTTCAACCCTTTTGAGGAACAGATTACCAACCTGAGAACCAGATTCCTACATTATGCAAGTAAATTACTTTGCACTTGTCATCTAATTCTCCTTAATATCACTTGGAATAACCTGTTCCTTATCCTCTTTCCATTTTCACTAAAATTGAATCGTTTAATTAGTCTTTTATTTTATAATAATCAATGCATTTTTTTCAACTTTTAAAACACATTAAATTAAACATAAACGACAAATTAATTTCACTCAAAATTATTCATCAATTTCGAAAGTCAGGGTATCCGTAAAAATTAAATACAGAGTAAATCAAGTTGGACAAAAACTATAGAAATTAAAACATATTTTAAAATTATTCTACTTATATAAAAATTCCCAATTCCAGTCAAATATTTAATGTTCTACTATTTTATTGTTATTTAATTAAACGATAATTAACATATTCATTTAAAGTACTTAAAAAATAATTTAATTAATTAAAAAATAATTTTTTTTAAAATATATAATTTGTTATGATTAGATTAGATATGTGGAAGTTATGGCAAAGTTTTGTTTGGTGTTGGAGAACAGAGCATTGTGTAGTGCTTTATTCTCTTCGGTCGTGGAAGCTGCGTTTGCACAACTTTCAAACTTCTGGAACCTTATCTACTCAACTCTCTTATTTTTTTAAAAAAAAAAATCCATTTTTTCAATAATTTTAATTAAAACTTTTTATCATGACTCAGTATTTGACATCAGATTTATTCGTAGATATATTATTGTTATTGCTAAGATTGTCTCAATTATCAAACCTAAAAAATTAGGGAAGTTTAATTTTTTTTATTTTTTTTAAATCAATGATTATTCTAATCCATTCAAGAAATGAATATATATCTCATAGCAATGTGTGTAAACTATAACCAAACTTAGAATTACATACTCAGAATAAAACGCAAGATTCAAAAAATCTAATGACCAGTGAAGATAAGAGATGTGGTTGGAAATTGAAAGATGAGAAAGATGAAGAAGATGATGATGAAGATGGATCCTATTGGGGGGTAAGAATGTGGTGATAGAGTTGAAAATGGCACATGCACCTTCACATGCATTGCTTGTGCAAAGCAAGCAATCATTCATGCACCTCAAAATCCGAAGCTTCCCTCTGCAAAAGACAGGAACAGCAAATTAGAGCCTGGAAAACACACACCAAAACCCCACTTTGGGGCCACTTCTCTCATTTCAAAGGATCCTATCTAATTGATTAGAGAAGCATTTATGATTATATTCAACACTCTGATTGATGAGGTCTTTTTAGTGCCAAATCCATAGTGGCTAAGGGTATCCAATCAAATCAACCATTTTTTTTTTTTTTCCTTCAACTCTTTATTATGTGTCTATTATTAGGGTTACGACTTTTTCTGCATCAACACCAATTTATTCATTCTTTCTTTGTTTGTTTACAAAGAATATAGACAGAATACTTCTCTCAAACCTTGAATCCTTGTGTCAAAGGATGCTTCCTCAATTATGCTTTTTCGTTTCTGGTTACAAATAAAAGAAAAAAGATATTGTTTGATCCTTGTTTCAAGTGTTGTTGCATCACATTAAGAAAGCACTTGAAGAACCAAAAAGTAAAAAATATAAAAGAAAAATGACAGATTTGAAAATATGGTAATTCTGAATACTAATGAATGCATTTGCTTTCATATTTCTCACACCAAAGAAGATATAATAGAGTAATTCTATGAGAATATATATTTATTGGAAAGATAACTATGAATATAAAAAGAAATAAATAGTGATGAAAGAAAAAAATATATTATAAAAATTAAACGTATAAATAATAAGTAGAATGAAAATGTGTGGCAGATAGAATGAATAGAAAGTCAGAGAAATGCATTGCATTTGTGAGTCTGAAAACGACATGGATAAGTCTCCTGCAACATCTGCACTGCACAATCTGAGGCTGCTACGTGTATCAATAAATTTTCATCTTTTTATAACAAAAAGTTCTAGTTTTTTTTTCTTATATATGATTTTGATAGTTTTTTACTATTTTAAATATCTTTGAAAATTTTTAATTAATTTTTTTAATGATTTCTTAAACTAATATATTAAGTTTATGATTCACTTAACTCGGAATAAAAAAAATGAAAATTTGACTATTTGATCAAATTAAAAACACGACACATGTTTTGAGCAATTGGGTCAATTTTGTGGCATTGAACCCATTTACCTTTGGGTCCAGAAAAATCGTATAAGCCCAACTCTTTCTCCACTTTTCAATAAATAATTTTGACTACGCTTCTTTTATTTCAAAATAAAAAGAATTATATCCTTTTTACTTTATAACAAAAAATAGTGTCCCTTTTGGTTAAAAACAAAATGTTATTACTATGTGTTTTCCTTTATTTCATGTTTTTCCTAAATTTAGTCTTAAAAAAACCACCCCATGTTTTTCTTCCTTGATTCATCAAACTAAAATTAAATTATCTATAAAATATAACTTTTTTTACTACCCAAAATAATCCCAAATTGTCAATGTTATATTAGAAATCTTTTACACAATTTGAATATTTTATTCAACATTATTTAGAATATTCTAATTGACCTTTCTTTTGAGAATGAAATTGACAAACAGTGACATGTAATATATTATTAAAATAAATAATAAAAATGACGAAAAAGGTGAAGAATATATTTTTTTATTTAATATATTTATAGATTTATTTAATATTTATGAGAAAAAAATTAAATAAAATAAAAGTGTAAATTATATTTAATTATTATTAAATTTAGGGTCACAATTATTTAAGAATCATTTGAAAGCTCTGTATGTATGATAAACCAAATTTATACAATGTTTTCACCTACAAAATTTAACTCCCTTTTATTTCTGTTCCAACCAAACAAGGGAAAGTTTTTGCAAATTTTGTTAAGGTTAAAATGGACTTTGAAGTGTTATAATTTATTTATTATCTATATTTATAAATAATGATGATTTCTTCTGTAGCCTTCTTTTTTTGTCATTGGAAAGAGAAAAATAAAAATTTCATAATTTTTAAAAATAATTATTATGATTTATATATTTGAAAATAATAAATATATAAAATGGTATGATGTCAAGTTGATGTTGGAGAGACTGCAACACATAAAATAGTGGGTGGGGAGGGGCCAAAATGTGTGCAACAAACAAAAAATGTGGGGAAGACGGAAAACTTGAAACTCACATAAATACAAGGTTCAAAATGTTATCATCCGAAATGTAGGTCAAGTGTCATATAACAGTGATGTCATGGCACATCATAAGTTAAGCATTCTTTGGTTGATGTTTGGAAAAAAATAAGACTCTAAGTAATATTTTTTTTTTTTAATGTTTGGTTACCAATGGAGGGACAAAGAAGATTATTTGAAGAAAAAGTGCATGTCCAAGAAGGAATGGTTAATAGAGAAAATGTACTACACAATGGGAGCAAGAACTGGATTCTTGTAGTGACAGAAGAATTTGATGTGTGTATGATTCAGCTAGAAGGGTGTCCACAACACAAAAGCTTGTACATGCGACAATGTCAAATTGTTTAACAAAGCCATCACCAGATGGCAAACTTTATCAAAATTTTCCTCAAAATAAATTTCGACTAAACAGACAAGTGCTGCATATACCAAAATAACATCAACTAGAATAACCTGGCAAATTGTTACATACATTGCTGCAAGCGCGAAAGAGATGAATGAGAACCAAACCACCAATGCTTCTTGGACATCATAATGACAACTGACAACACAAACCATAATGCAAATCTGCAAGCCTTCATTGTCAAATAATTTGAGTCATATGCTTCTATAATATCTCACCAGATGAATCAAATTCTATTGCTTGGTAGCAACAGGTTCTTGTACCAAGGAGGGCTGAGGATTCCCTTCAACTGCTATGTCACCATTCACATGAGAGTCTTCTTCACTTGGCTTATTATCTGAAGGAACCACATTCAGAGGCACAGTATCACCTGTTTCACTGGACAAGTTACCCTTCTCCTCATTTCCTGCAATCGTGTTGGTTTTCTCTTCTCCTGTAGCATTGGATAAGTTGGTATCCTTTTTAGCAGCACGAGATACAGAAGACTTTTCATCCTTGATAGCCTTGGATGAAGTCAGTGCAGTTGTTGAATTTGATACACTGTTCCTTTCAGAAGCCAGTCGAGAAGGAAGAGATCTTCGATACGGCTTCTTTTGAAGAACAGGAGTAGGTGCCTTACTGGGGTTACTCTCTGAAACTTTCTCATCCAGACTTAAACGAGCTAGTCTTGAGCTGCTGCTAGTGTTTCCATCTGACTCTGAATTAGTTGAAGTTTTCTTTCGACCTAGCTTGGGAGATTTTGCCCTTGTAGTTGGTATCTACATTAGTAACACCCATAAGCTAAAGATGCCTAATTCCTAAATGGCAAAAACCAAACTTGCATTCTCAAGAAATGCCCCTTTACTTGTACTAAATTTTAAAAATGTCAGTATAATTTATAAAAGTGTATAAGTGTGGTAGGATCAGTGTTAATAAAATTAAATTTGAATGAAATTGATTTTGAAATGAAGTTATTTATGTTAGATGTTTTTACTCTAAACACTAGAAAGTGAAACTTGGTATATATTTTCTTATCGAGTGCAAATTTAATTTTGGAATAAGAATCAATTCCTCAATGTGATATCAAATATGGTAATATCACTTTAGTTGATATTTGAACATGACTTAGGATGATCCAACCTAAATCCAAACATGCACTAATATTGGTATCCTATAATTGTGAAAATTTCCATATAGGCCTTTTCTGGATGACTTATGGTTAACTCTATTACTGGATATTCACAGTTATCTGCAAATCACTCTATATTGGTGCTACAAATTATAAAGACTTGATTATAATATTTTGTAATCAGTAATGAACTAATAGAAAAAATAGTAAAAATTATAGTAACCCATTTAAAAGACCCTGTTAAGAACTTTTCGATTGGAGGGACCTATCTGAAAACTCGATGAAACTATAAGAACATACAGAGTAATCTAGCCTTATCAAAACAATATCAAGTATAACACATTTAAAAATAACTAAAACTACCATTGCAAAGCAAGGATAACAAACAATTCAATGTTCGGGTGACAGAAAACTGAGGTTTTGCCATTTCAATTTATATGTCAAAAGGTATTAAAAAGTCTTCCTCTGTTTATAATTATGCAATAATATTCAATTATTCATTGATACAAAGCAGATATGCAAAACATGCATACTTGTGGTCAAGTGACACACATTAGGTAATCAATTTTAGATACACTCAACCATCCTATTACCAATCGGATACAAGTCCAGAAGTCATCTAAGAAACGAAATTAATAATATGATGTGATATATGTATTACCTATTTACTGTGTGATCTCCCCACAAATAATGGTCCAACAATCTTAGAAAAATGAATTTTTATTGCCAAAGCTGAAATTATATACCAAATCTCCATTTCAAATTGGAAGTATTATTCTATTTTTACATCCAATACAGTAATTAATAAGTGAATAAGTGAATCCGCATAACGATCGAAGATCAACCATTTCATAATCACAGGATATTTAAGAACAAGCAAGAAACTTAACAAAACAACGAGAAATGGGAACAATAAGAATAAAGCTTTCACATGCAAACAATGCTCTCTACCAATTATTTTTAGAAGATTAGTGTGTTTTGTCTCTCTCGAACTCCAAGTAATATGTATGTTTTCATCTGTGTTTTTGTCTATTTACATGGCAGCACATGCATACAAACAGATATAAACACATATGGCTTCAAAGCCAAAAAAAAAAAAAAAACATAATCTGAAAATAATTAGTGCAGGCTGAATAGTACACATGCAAGCAAGTACAAAGAGACACACATGTGTGCATGGACATGCGCAAACACACAGACACAGAGAAAGAGAGAGAAAGGACCTTCTTTAGCTCAACCTTAGGAGGAGCAGGCTCCTGATAAAAACTTGGCATTGGAGTAGCTTTAAAATTGAGACTCTTCCTAAGCATCTTAATCTCGGCTTCTTGGGTCTCCTATAAAAGGGATTAAAAAGATTGACATGATTAAAAGATAAATTCTCAGTTAACAATCTATCCCAGATATCAGGTACTCCTCGTACCTTGGTTTTTGCTTGCAAGTTACTCTTCTCCACCTCCTTTGCCTGAATCCTTTCCTCAAGCTTATTATAGAACTGCTCACCAAATACCAATCAAGTTTTAAAGCTACAAGCTTATTCGAAAGAAACTGGACAACAACAATGTACATGGAAATAAGTATGTAATAATTATTCACCTCTTTTCTTCTCTCAGCTCGTTCACCACACTTAAAACTGAATCCATAATTTGGAAGTGTCCCCACCCTTTGAGGTTTGGCATCTTCATTGTTGGCATTTCTAAGTGGATTAAGGTTAAACTAAAATATACATGGCGCCATAATAAAAAATAAATTTAAATAATAGAGACCCAGTAGTTCCAGATTTTCACTCGTTAGGAGAAATACATAAACCCAAAAATGGATACAAGGAATATTCTTCTTCTCCTTGATCTTTAACAACGGGTCCTTTGCTCAATGATTTTGGTTTTGTCTTCTCCCTGTATCCACATCATCAAGTCCACCAGTTAAATAATAACAATAATCTATCTTTCTAGAGATGAAACATTGACAAGAAATGCAAGCAATACGTACGTTGATACTTCAGAAGATGCTTCATCAGACTTCAAAGAATGCTGGGAAAGACGAAGTGAAAAGCTATTAGGGAATGCCAAAACTAAATTTTATTACCAAAAACCGATTAAGAATAAAAGAAGAATATTTATATTTGTCCAAGTTCCTAAATAAAATATTGGGAAAACAAGTAAAGGTAATACCAGAGTTTACCTTAGCACCCAAAAAGCGATAGAGTTTACCTTGGGCTTAGACAATTGTATCTGCCGATCATTGAATGATCTGCTGCTGCTTTTAATAAACTGTTTTGGGCGAGTGTCCAAAGCTGATGTACCATTTGAAACAGATGAGGATGTTTCTTTATCTTTTCCAGTTTTGCTCTTATTGATTGAACTTGCATGAACACCACTTGAACTTGGAGCCTTTACATTCTTATTCTTGACAAGAACCTTTGGTGCTCTTGATTGTTTTGCATTATCTGATATTTTCACTTCCTCTTCCTAGAAAAAATATGAGATAATATACGAGATTTAGTTCTTTCTGATATTTTCACTTCCTGTTCCTAGTAAAAATATGAGATTTAGATAATATAAACGACTTAATGAAAGCAAATCAAGGTAAACAAAAATCCTCTAACCTTAGGAATGGTCATGTTATTTCCATCATTATTGTCATTTGATTCTTTGATTTCTTCCACAAATGAGTTATCAAATGCAGCACTATCAGACTGATGGAAATTATCAAAATTCCCATTCGAAGCTCCAGTTTCTGCAGTTTCGGTGACATTGGGGTCTAAGTCATATGAAGCACCGCCATCCTCCCCGGAGTTTGAAGGTTCATCATGGACACCATTTTGGTGGACCACTTCAACCCCATCAGTAGGTAAAAGGTTAATTGGATCCATCACTCACACTGGCCTACAAGTTGAATAGAAACAAAACTTGTGGCTTAGAGATGCTTGTACACAAGAAACAAATACATCATGCATACTAGCATGAACAATTTTAACAATTCAACTAGTGTTTATATAAAAATTTAAACTGCTTCAATACTGCCCTTTTAGCAGAGTCAGTTTTAAAAAATTACTTTTTCTTTTCCTTCGTCCACAAAACAAATAGTGATTACAATATTTCAAGACACGGTTCATCAGGCAGACTTTGGTTGAAATGGCAACTTACCCACCTGAAGAAGAAATTAGGAGTGAGATGGCAAAATGGAATACCTGTCAGGTTGAGTCAAAAGTCATTTGCCAATTGGAATAAGTAACACAACACAACGCAATCATCATATTCCACAGTTTCAGCTAAACTTTTCATCTTTCCTGGGATAGTAAACATGTACACAGCCCCTTTTCAAAGTCATGGACACTAATCAGTGATCAATAACCATAATGGTCAACGATTATGCTTTATAATCCAGTCTCCTAGTTTCTATTGCATGAAGAAAAACAGGGGCAATATTTCTATTTTCCATTAAGACAAAAGAAAAAGGAGGGAAAGGCAATACAATCAAGATTCACATAATAGAGTGAGAGTCCCTAATTCAAACCTTCTGCTGCATTTGCCTGGCAATTACAACAATTATTACAGTGCTTGGTAATGCAAAATTTATGTCATCAAGATATAATTGAAGACTAAAACTGCAACAACTAGAGATACAAATCACCATGTTGATAAACAATGCTCAGATTCCCAATTCACCTCTCCACAATCTTCCAATTCAACACTGATCTCACACTAAAATTCATAATTCAACGAGAACCCAAATTCGGTTTTTTTATACGGAACATTCCCAACAAAAAATAAAAATAAAAACAACCAAAACAATCTCACTTTCAATTTCACAACAAACAAGAAATCAAGAACAGAACCCCCAGAGGAAAATTTGAGATTTTTATTCCGTTTGAGTCCCCAAAAGTCAAAACTCCACATAAAAAAGTCTTACCCGGTCAAAGGGTAGTCAAAACGCCATCAAAAGGTGGACAGTGAACACCAGTGAAGTAAGCAGTGACTTGAAGCGTAGTGGGTGGTTGACAGAACAAAGAGATCTAACCCCGAGAAAGAAAACCAACCCAGAATGAGGATTGAGTAGAGGATCACGATCCAAGGATCCACGCACAAACAAAACAGTAACAAGATCCGAAAGATTGAAAGTGTAGCAGATGGTGATGATTGAAGGATTGTGTTCGATCACATGTTAGCGAGAAAGAGAAGGCAAAGAAGAGAGAGAAAGGAAGAGAGAAAAAGAGAGAGAAATTTTATAGGAAGGAGGAGCGGTTTTGAAATGGGATTGAAGGAGAGGTCGCTCTCTCTTACTGGAAACGGCGAGTGAGTGAGAGTGAATGGGTCACACAGACATAGAGACACAGAGACAGGGTCAGACTATACGGTTTCGAAGATAAATAATTAATTAATTATTCTATAATAATTAAATAAATAATTTAATCTTTTTTTCCCACAAAATAATTCTACACGGTTAATTAACCACTACTCTTCTTCTTAACCGGTTTTTCTTTTCTAGAATTAACTAGGGTAAATATTTAAAGGTAAAAAAAAAAGTTCGATTTCTTTATACAGTATACACAATTCTTAAAATATTTTAAAATTTTAAAACAAAACCTAGTCTAACCACCAGTTTCAAAAAAAAAAGAACAAATCAAATAAAAAAAGTTTTGAAAAAAAGGTTAAGGACATGACATGATAAGGAGTTTACTTGATAAGGAGTTTATATATAATAAAATCGAAAGTAATAGTTTTGGATATATATATATATATATATATATATATATATATTCTATTTTAAATATATATATATATATAATTAAAATTAATATAAATATAAAGAGAATATAATAAAAAATAAATGTTGAAATTAAAGAATAAACTTTTAACTCTTTTTTTAAGTAAATTATATATATATAAGGAGATAAAAAGTTATGATAAAAAATTTGAAAAAAAAAACTATAAGATGTATCAACATTTAATAATTAGCTTGTATGAAAATAACTGCAAGTAGAAAAGAAAAAAATTATCTAAAAAAGTAATAAGTGATCATCTAAAAATATAAACAAATTGATTAAAATTTAATATTATTCAATTATAAAATTATTTATATAAATATTGATTTATTTTCATATGAATGAAATATTTTGTATAATTAAATATATATATATATATACATATATATATAAACTAAATTTATAAATATAAAACAAATAATTATTTAATTAAGTAAGAATAATTTCATTAAATAATAATTTTTATTCTATAAATGAGTTTAAACTAATAAAATAATACTATATTTAAAAATATAAAATAAAATAAAATATTTATTTGGTATTTATAATTATTGTAAGAATATAACTAAGAGTTTATATATATATATATATATATATATATATATATTGAAATTATGAATATAAGATAATAGTTATTTATTTAAATCAAAATATTTTAATAAAAAAAATTACACCTTTTACTTTTTTGTTTTACTTTATATATATATATATATATATATATATATATATATATATATATATATATATATGTATATATATATATATACATTTTTCCTTATCATTTTCTTTGTTAAAAAAAAAATCTTTTCACAAATTTTCTTATTATAATCACTTTGCACTCTTTATTTATTTTTTTATTTTTCAAATTAACCCATAATTAATGTTTACCTACTTTTTACATAATAAAAAAAGCAATTATTAGAAAGAAATAAAAATAATATATGCATGTTTACTCAACCAATAATTTAGTTTCAATTTTAATGAAAATACAAAGTTAATTTTTGTGTCATCTAATATATATAAAGGGTTAATTATGTCCCTTATTTATTCATTTTCTTCTTCTTTTTTCTCTCGGTAATAATGTGTGAGAAATGGAGAAAAAAATAACTTTTTACAGTAATATTTTTGTAAAACAGCTCATGTGCTCAATCATTTAAATTCATTGGATTCAAACGCTTGCATATGATTTATTTCAGAAAAAGGAGTTAAACCTCTTAAAAGTGAAATTTATTGGAAGTTATTGATCCAACTTTGGGTAATATTTATGAAAATTGATTTCTTCGATCTCTTAAAGATCATTTAAGAAACATTCTATATGAAAAAAGTTAACTTAAAAATACCCAGATAAAAAGAAAATTCCATTTTCTATTTTTCTTTATCAAGAAGATACTTAAGTTCTGTCATTTTTTTTTCAAATTTCCTAAAAATATAAATAAATGCTATACAACTGCATGTATTTTTCAGAAGTAATTTCTTTGGAAATGGAAGTTTTTATCCTCATCTTAAATTGTTGTGCCTCCAAAGAAACTTCCTGAGATAATTATAAAGAGTGTCCTAAAATAAATCCAAAATAAATAAATTAATAAAAAGTAAATAGTGTTAAAATGAAGTGCATAGATTATTGTTGCTAATAACATGAACAAAAGAAAATAGTATATAATATTAGGGATGACAAATGAAGCATGTACCTTGTTGTTTGCTCCGGTAAAAATAATTAGTTTATATATAAAAGCATTTATATTTTTTAAAAATAACACACCCTTAATTATATTAATATTTTTTAAATTTTTATTTATCAATTAATATATTTCATTAGATAAATTAAGAAAATTATTCTATTTATTATATTAAATTATTCAAATATAAATCTATAATTAATTATTTATGTTTAATTTATTGATATTTATAATTAAAATTATAATATTTATATTTCAATAATTTATTAAACAAAATTATATATTTTAATTATAATTATTTTTATTTTAATATAATTTTTTTAAAAATAGACTAAAAAGTTTTTTTTATGTCTATCTTAACTAGTAAAAATTAACAGAGACATAAATTTAAATAAATTTATAAATTAAAACTATTAATTTAATTTACTAATTTTAGACATATTGACGAATAAATAATATAAATTTTCACATATTTATGTTAACATATAGATTTAATCAAATGAACCAACTTAAAATATTTAAAAAACAAGTTAAATTAGATAAAAAATACTTGTAGCTTAATTTGAATCAATTCTATTTTGATATAGTCATTTTTTTTACTATATAAATTATATTAGTCCATAGATTTATAAATTGATCTATTTTATAGAATAATAATTATGTTTTAAATAAAAATAACAATAATATTATTTTATTAAAAAATAATATTATTTTATTTATTTATATATATATATATATATATATATTATAAATTAATTTCACGGATATTCCTTGTTGTAGAAATAAATATCATAACACATTTCTAATGATCAATTATTCCAAAACATAAGAATTAAAATTAATTATTATTTTCAATTAATAAATTATGATAAAAAAATAATTTTTATTTTTATTTTAAAATTGAATAGATACATTCTCTTATATTTTATATATTAAATTATTATATATTAAATAAAAATTAATCTTATTAATAAAATTTAAAATTTTAAAATATATTTTTATTTAAATATGTTTTAATGAATTAATTTGTATAAATATATCAATATTTTTTTAAAATTCAATGAGGTTAAAATTGGTTGGTTAGTTTAATATAATTGTTGAAAATCTCACATCGCCTACCTCATGTCATTTGGTATAGTTTGGTTTAAATACATGTTAGGTTACTTCACGTATTGCCAAATGGTTTTATGTTAGAACCTTAATATGGTATCGAGTCAAAGTCTAACATCTTTCTAATTATTGTCATGGGCAAAAAGTTGCCCTTTAGTTAGATCAAAAGTACCATTTGTCCAGTCGTGAGCCTCGTTGGAGGGTGTGTTGAAAGTCGTCACGTCGTCTATCTCATATTATTTTGTATGGTTTAAATACATGTGTAGGCTACCAATTTGTTTTATATTGAAACCTTAACCATAAGATTAGGTTAAATAAAAA